TTAGGCATCTGTAAAGTTTGTGGGGGAGGTATAAGCACCATCGTAAAAATCTGGCTGACATGCWCATGCTTTAAGCTCATGAAAAGTCCCACACATACCTCTAAAACACATTAAATAAATACAAAATGATGCTCTGGATAGCCTGCAGGTGGAGCAACATAAAACAGRGAGTGGAGTACTCATATTTAAAAGCTATGACTCTAGAAACTGACGTTTTACTGGCAAAATGGTTTAAAGTGTTGACAGAACGTTGCATCCACACRGGTGAGACGATAACGATAAAAAACAGCTTCAGATAAAAAATAATCTGCAGTCCTGCCTGAACACAAACTAACTGGAWGCTTACAAAACAGCTGAGTGTGTTAGGGTTGCTTGCTGCCAAGTCTCTTAAAAACACTGACAGCCTTGACGTCCATCTTGGCCCCCACAGGCTCTGCCCCTCCTGCCCCCCCAGTCCCGGTGCTGCTGCTGACTTTGCAGCTGGCTACAGTGGATTTCTCCGGTGCTCTGGGCTTGGTGCTCGTCACTTTGTTGTCCTGCGTGTCGGCGGGCGCCGCGGACACGCCAGCGCTCGCCGCTGGGAGTTTGCCCAGTCTCTGTAGAATGCTGACTTTGGCGGGAGGGACTTTTGGAGAAGAAGCAGAGGAGGAAGTGGGGGAGTCAGAAGGAGGACGTTTAAATTTCCCTCCGAGGCGTCGCAGGCTGACGGGGGCTGCTTTCGTGGTGGGCTTCTTCTTCGGCTGTGGAGGGGGCCTTTTGAGAATGCCAGCGTACTGCAGGACAGAACCTTCTCCATCGCTCTCCTCCTCGTCTTCATCCACGATCACAGCCACGTTTCCTGGCTTCGGCGCATCTTCGCCTTCGTCCGCTCTGTCGAGGCGACTGAACACGCCAGTCGGCTGTTAGGAACACAAGCACRTAAATCAGAACTGGACTTTAACTGGACGATACAGTCTGCAGCTGAGGACATACTGACTCACCTTGTTATTACTGGTCGTCGTGTCGGCCATCGATTCAGCTCCAAGTCGTTCAAACACAGAGGTACGCTTCAAACCTTTTGAAGACAAAAGCAAAACACACYGTTTTACACAAACAATAAACCTGACAGGGATTGTTTTTAGTGACCTACTTATAGAATACTGAGTTATAAAAAATGTTTTCATTACGACAACTACCATCACCTGTCCAAGAACAGTGGGTGAAAACATGGACGGGTTCAGGGGGTTCAAAGGTTTCAGAAGAAGGCTATTTAGAAAAAGTAAGGAGCTGATCATTTATAGAGTGAGGCTCAGTACTGAGTCCGCTCTTCAAATATGGCACCTGGGTCACATGATAAGTTATTGAAAAATCATAAATTTTATTTAAAAAATATTAGATGTGCCGTAAAATCAGGAAAATAAAAGTTGTGTCTTCTGTCCTGTTCAGGAGAACAAGTTCACATTAGTTTTGTATCGCTAGGACAAATGACCTAAAACTATTGACTTTTGTTTCTCAACTGTTTGTTTGGTAATTTTTTGACGGTCCCCAAGCAGACCATGGTGTGTTCAGGAGCGAGCAGACGGAAAGGCAGCTGACTAAATTCAGACTGCCTGCACCGGTTAGACGAGAGCAGGGTATATGCAGAAATTCTGAAGTTAAATYTAATACCTTTTACTACCTTTTTAATACTATCCCAATGTTTTTTTAATACCAACACGACTTCAAGTGTCAAGTGTAGCTGCAACCGCTTCAAACCTATTATTACAGTTACTGGATACATAGTTWTTTCTTTGCCTTAATGAAACACTGATCTATTTACAATTATTTGTTATTTAACCCTAAATTCAAGACAAAATATGTTTTCATTATTATGTGTAGGAAGAGCAGTGCTATCAGAAAGAGGTCATCTGCTCTAACATGTCCCAGGAACACAGAACCAAAATACCCTGATGTCACAACCATCCTCTAAATAACATCTGTGTGTGTCCATCTGTTTTTTTAAACATGTATTAAAACTTTTGTTGAACATGAGAATGAACGGTCCAGCTGTGTTATCAACCCACCACCACACACACAGTTTTACMCTCACAATCACCATCTTTTATCTGAGTTTACGTTGACAATACCAGTATGTCTGTATCTGGTGGGGCCTGGGCTGTGGGCGGACTTGAAGTTTGGAGGGGTTCCGCCCCATAGCTACTTTTATTTTGTTACCTTTTAAAGCTAAAAACGATACTTTTACTTCTTTACTTTAAAATGTAATACTTAGTTACTTGTTACAAAATTAACTATGTTCAAACTCATCATGAAAGATGTTTCTGCACTCTAAAAAATGAAGTGTTGAATTTACTCAACAAAGTCATGTTAACTGGCTCCACTAAGCCTAGTTGAGTAAAATGAGCAAAGAATATACATATATTGCTAAATTTACWCAACCCGGCTCAATGGAGCCGGTTTGGTTCAGTAAATTCAACAGTTTATTTCTTAGAGAGTGTTAAAGTATTTTTACTTCCCCAATTTTTCTGAACAGTTTCATGACTTTTACTTGCGTAGTTTTCTCATCAGTGAATTTTTTTTTACCAAAGTCATTTTCTGTTCATGTAGTTTTACTTTTACTTAGTTATTTTTTTTTTCAAATACTTTATAGACCTCAGTTCACAACTCTGGACCACAGCAAAAGTTACTTTTTCCCCTGCAGCAAAAATGCACTTAAAAGGGGATTTTACATGACAAAATTTACAGACAGCTGTGTACTTTTAAACTCTACGCAGATTTTAATTACTGAACACACATTGACAACCAACTAACTTTTAGTTAACCCGATTCAAGATGGCTGCCGTGGCTAATCAAGTTAAGAAAACACAAAAACGGCTTGAACTCAGTCTATTTTAAAGATATTAGGCAACTCAACAAGGAAAACAAAATTGTAACTCTTAAAGCTAGAAAACAAGTGAAACTCATGCAAAAAGTTATTTTGTGTTGCAAGACAAATTAGTAATAAAAGGATTTTGTAAGGARGGGGATTAGTAAGAGAAAAACGTCCAATAAGCTCTGATTTTAGCCCCAAATCAGAAGCTCCAGGTCACCACAGAGGACATTTTAAGAGTGAATAATTCWGTTAATCAGTGTTAGTTACTCCCGCTGCTGGCGAGACCACTGGGCCAGGCCTACCTTTCTTGGCCTGCTGGGCCAGGATACGACGTGTACGAGGCGTGGAGCCTTTGGGCATGTTGATGATGTACTTGCCTTCCATCTCGGCCGTCACACGCCGGCGCTTCACCGCTGGCAACCCGTTCCCCTCGTCGGCTGGTTGACTGACGACTGACAAAGTGATCCACACACCAGGAATAAACGGAGTTGAGTGAAACGGCAAAACAAACGAGTGATGATTCGAAAGAAACTCTCCAAATCCTCTACCTGCTTTGTTGTTTTTGTTTGCCTGAGAGTTGGACACYGTGACGGAGAGCCGGTTGTCGGGTCGGCGGGCCGGAGTGGTTGGAGGGGAATCGTGGCTCAGAGCGTTGGCAATCATACGTGTAGCAGCTGAAAAACCAACAAAACAAAGATATTAATAGACTGACATTTGGATTGTTTCTTAAMACAAAATATGTTTTGCTTTACAGGTAAACAGGAAATAATAAAGATATACTTATTCTTGTTCCGCATTTTGAGGAGCAAACAATTTATTATACTGACATTTCAGCTGGGAAAGTCTTGATTGATGACTTTGAATTGAGTGCAGCTGACACACCTTCTTCTGCACGCACTAATGACAGCAGCGTCTCACAGCAGGACACAYACCTCAACATTACGCACATTTTTCAAGAATGACTCAGGAGAAAATCCACAAAAGAACAACTTCCTGGAAAGTATCTCGTGTGTTGGAGGAACACCCAGTTCTACGAAGCTCAACCAAAGATCCAACTAAACCAGATGTGTTAATTGCTCACACTCTGGTGCCAAACACCACRCAACAGCTGAGAGGTTCCTCGTTATCTGCTACACCAAAACAAACCAGTATGAGGCAGGTGGTTCTGAGTTTGTCGTTTCCAGGGATCTCGATGTATAAACGGTGCGTAYGCACAAAAAAGTTGCGTGCGCCAGGTTCTRCGCCCACRTTGGGATGTATTAAAAMCAACGTTGCACCTCACCTGCCRTGAGAATGTGCGRCAGCCACGCRAAGATTTTCAGTCGACAGTTTTAACCCACAAAGTCACGAATCTGACCTGAATCCACAGAAATATGACTCTGTTGTGTTTTCTGGATGTAAGGAGCGTCTGAACACGGCGTTAGATTTTTATTTTAGTTTGATTTTTATTGTTTAAACTCGAACGATCATGAAACTGAACCCCGGGAATGAAAATCATTTAACCTCAGACAAGAAAATAGATCAGCCTAAAAATGATCAACAAACCTCAGTCCAGTCTGTAAACTGTAAAGTGTTTATATTGTTACATAGTTGGAAACACACGCAGAGCGCAGGCCTGCAGAGCACACGCACAGCTGAGGGAAAGAAAATGTGTGAATTGTCTAAGAAACATTTTTTAATTTTCACTGAGAGAAAAACGTTATCAACTCAGAATATTAATTCAGAACAGGTCAGCTGTGATGATTCCTCAGCTCCACAAGACACAACAGATTGCTGCGTATGGATCGGCGTCAGCTGTTCCCAGTCCCACACCACGGCAGAAACTCGCAGCGCTGCAAGGTAGCCTTCTGCGTCCAGTTTTGATGCGTCGGTTACCCCCCGCGCGTCAGTTTTTTACGAGATGAGGCGGAGGCGGACGGGCACGTTGTTATATTTTTTTACAAGAGTAGGAAATGCGCGTTTCTTCACATCAACTTAAAAAATATTTTTCTAAGTTCTACAAAAGTCATAAGTTTCTCTGTGTTTACAGTCATTTATTAAAGACGTGCAAAGGTGGAAATATCTCTCAGCCTCATGCGCCGCTGAAAATAACAGCACACGCGCGTACACACCAACACTCACACACACCTTTGCGAGTGGCAAACACATGTTTACAACCCACTACTTATATAACAATGTTCTCACTCATTCTCCATTTAATTTATAATTTTCCTGCATCTAAAAATCCTTTCTGAGGASAATCTGARGAGAATCTCACACGCTGGACACATTTACATCTATTTTACADATTTAAATGGAGGCGTGTCAGGGGAGGTGTCTCACGTGCGCTAAGTTCCACGTTCACTGGGATGTATAAAGGAAAGGTGCGCGGGAACCTGTGTGCGCACGGTTTTATACATCTGAATTTTTTGGTGCGGCGCACTTTTCTAAATTTGTCCGTACGTCAACTTTTAGTGTGAAAGCTGCGCACTCCTTTATGCATGAGGCCCCTGGAATGTGAAACATAAAACAATGGTGAGAGTTGTTGCCTCCCAGATGAGAAGTTTTCTGGATCGTCTCCCAACCTGAATGCAGATAATTACATTTTGTTACTTACGAGTGTTGGCAGTTCTTCTCAGCTCAGCCTGGACACTTGTTTGTCCAGAGGAGATGGCCTCCGTTGCCATTTTACACATATCCTGAAGAAAAACATGAAAGACTGTGAAAAATTAGGTTCCTAAAACGATAAGAAGAGTGTATCATAGCTTTAAGATTTAGTGGTCAAATAAAAGACAGAAAAACCTTTATTTTTTAGTAAGCAGAAGCAATATTATTCATTAGGAGTTTACTTTAGAGCAGGGGTCACCAATCTTTTTGAGACCGAGGGCTACTTCAGGGGTACCGAGTAACATGAAGGGCTACTTGTTTGATACAAACATAAATTTGCACCGTTCACCTTTAATTATAGTATTAATAATAATAAATTTATACATGTGAATATTTGACTTTTAAAGACTCCATCATAATTTACTGTGGTAGATATTAATAATAATAATTTATCATAAGTAATTTAAACTTTGTGCAGCAGCAGGGGGACCTGATTCCAGAGTTCCCAGTTTGAAACAGTTTTGGAGCTCTTCAGTGTGACCGGAGTGTGGATAGTTGTTTGTGTTTTTGCATCCCTGTGATGGTCTGAGATCTGAGACCCTAATTAGGAACAAGGAGGACATAACGGATGGATGCTTTTTATAGCAGAAAACAGATATTTAAACATGAAACATTTTTATTTAATCTCAATTAAAAACATTTTTAATTTTGTGTATTTTGTAAATATTAGATTAGATTAGACCTTTATTGTAATTGTACAGAGCACAATGAAATTAAAAAATAAAATAATAAAAATATGATAGC